AGAATGAACTACGTAGTACCGATTCGATTCGCTTTCACCGCATTGTCTAACTTATAACTTGATGGCAAGGGCACTGGTGACGGGGTGACTCCCGCATCCTCAGAGAATCCACTACCAAATGGCTCATCGTCGAGGTGGCTGACCTAAATTCAATGACACTCGCATTGGCAAAATTATAAGGATAAAAGAGTAAAATTCTAATAGAGCACACCAACAAAAGCCTTACATCTGATTAATTTATTTAAGAAGGGAAAAGATTTATGACGTTCAACTTCAGGTGTTATTTTGACTCTAATCTTGCTACATAATATGGACTGAATACAAACACACATGTATTGTCGGCTCCCAGGCCTACACTAGGCGGAGGCAGAGGAGCCACTGCGGTGGCGCGGTTGCGCAACATTTGTTCAATCTGAGCAAGATGATCAGCTGATCGCCATCGTAGACTAGGATCAGTTGATTGCCACGTATCCACGGCATAGTTATGATTAAAGCGCAACTGCTCCATTGCAGCGGCTCTGCTGACTCCGAATAATTTCGCCTGGGAGCCGACAACACACGCAATTGTTCTGGCATCTCGCGAAAGCGTGTGCGATGAGAAATTTGTTGAGCACTCAACGTATCAGATGAGGATATAACCGAGAAAAAGACTATACAACTTATACACAAAACTTTGCAATCACCTCATTTAGCACATCGTCAAGCGATAGGGAGGGGAGCGAGGTTGTGTCAGATATGTCAAGCCAATCTTCCGCATCCGTAGAGCTCGCCACTGAGTTCATCCTAGTTGCTGGATGTTTCACTCAAGTAAGGAGTCCATCACGGCACAGCAGATACGACTTCGCTTGAATAGAAGAAACTTCTCAAATTCAAAACCATACAAGTTGAATCAATCCGCCTCCAACTATCGATTACGAAGAAACCTTTTTGTTAGACTGTAGTAGTAGCTCTTTCAACGCTGTTACGTTTTTTAGCATCAAGAAACTTGTTGGGGTAAATTGTTTTTAACGATGAGACAACTGTGGCATAAGATGGGAAGACAATAACGGCAGTAACCGAATAAAAGCCGATGAAGTCCTCATAGGAAAAAATAACAGTTCATAGTAATAAATTAATAGCAATGCTAACCACATTATGGAACCAGAAGAAAAATCAACAGAAAACGATAACAATTGCACGAGAGTACAAACCATCCCTACCAACATAGAAGAAAATTGGAATCATAATAAAATCAAAGTTGAGGCGTTTCAGGTTCACAGAGCTGTAAGGCAAATTTTACCCAACAAGCGAATAATAGTTGGCATTTGGAACAAAAATCACAGCAGATATCACAATGACTATGAAATGGAATGAAGTTCTGGCAAAAGACCAAACCAAAAATTGAAAAAAGTGACTGATATCACATGATGATATGAGGTTCAGGAACATTACTCGAGATTGACTTGTGAGGTAAAACTTGTGCCCCATTGAGGTACAACTCATCACTTACTACCTAAAAAGTTTCTTTAATTTTCGCTATTCTGAAACAATGCGATCCCAACTTACAACATCATCGCCAATGACACAGTTGTTTTCAATGCGTACCCATCTACCAATGGAACACTTGCGGCCAACAATAGTTTGATTTATCCAAGAATGGGTGCGTACGATAGAATCAGACAATATTGTGCACTGTCGTAAGCACACGCCATCCTCTATGCGAACTCTGGGACCAATGACCTAGAAATACTCGTCATAGGATGGTAGACACTAAAAAAGCTACTTTAAAAAGGAGATATGAAAATGGTTCAGAAAAGATGTGGACCAAAACCTAGAGGCAGATGTGATTACATTATTAAATCTACATGCAAAAGGACCAGTACCATAATATCTCTACGGTGATCTTTGACCGGATGAATGAAAACAAAATTTTAAGTGCTTATTTGAAAGGTCCATTTTAATTTTTCCTAAGCTGACTGAATGTTCAAGATGTCACCACCTCAATTATATGCATAAAAGGCATATGAAGTGTGGTATAGGAGTTACGAAAATCCCAATAAGAGTTGAAGAGCGAGATAGGCTGGAAATTCCGCAAACAAAATCATCCTTTTCTAGAAGTATATCTACATGTATGCATCTAATTTTGTATAAATCGATGTTTTTATTTGATTAAATTCTTGATTGGAATGTAGGCAGATATGGTGGGAATGTGATGTAGTGAAAGCACCAGCTAAAGCGAAGCGCCCAGATGACCAGGCTATTATAAACAAAGCCAGTATGGCACGAAAGCATCGCAATGCAGCAGCGAACAAGTCACACCAAAACCAAAGAAAATCAGATGTCAAAGCAATGCAAGCTTACCACGTTAGGTCCTATGCGACAATTGCTTCCAATGCTAGCCGTAGCATCAATAAGGACGTTGCCATGAATTGAGTCACCCTTGGATAGAAATGAGGGGTCCGTTCTCCTTTTATGCTCAAGAAATAGCGATATTCCTAAATATAAAGATAGCCAATTCTTTACTTGATAATGTTCAGCCTACCCTTCAAGAAATCTTTCGGTTGTCCCACATCCATCCAAAAACCAGATAGCACAAATGCAAACAGATTGTTACATTCTGCCATTTTTGGGAAAATCTATGAAAATCTATTTCACAAAAAA